GGACAAGGGTGCCGAGTTCTGGCTGAGCGCGAAGACGGGCATGTGCATGTACCCTGGCGGTGACCTCAGCAGGGGCACCCCGCTCACCAGGAAGAACAACACGCTGGGATTCAACGCGAAGACCTTCAAGACAGCTACGGAGGCGAAGGAGTTCGCGGCCAGCGTGAACGCGAATGAGCAGCAGGAGGAGGCGTTCGCACCGACGCCTGGGGCTGCGGGCAGCGGAGCAGCGACAGCGGCACCGGCTGCACCTGCGGCTGCCGCCTCGGATCCAGAGCGAGGTGGAGCAGCTGAGGGCGCGAGAGGAGAGCGACTGGCTCGACATCCTGTGCTGCTACGCGAAGGGCAGGAGATCGTCCTGCACCCTTCCAGCCGCGTGGAGGACACGCGGGCAAGGCTCAAGGAAATGGGCCAGCCAATTTACGGCAGAAGGGACGAGCTGTGGGCTAGGCTCAGCGATGCGGAGCGGAGGCTCACGGCGCACCACATGAAGATGAAGGAGTTGGAGCGCAGGCACGAGGAGTCCGTTCAGGGAGGACCCTCGGTCGCACCGCGAGAAGTAGCAGGGCCAGCAGCGCCCACGGATGCAGAACGAGCAGCTCATGAACTGCTTCACCTCACGAGGGCGCCGTGGCGCGAAGCCTGCGTGCGGGGGAACGAGACGACAAAGCCGCACAAGACCCTCACATTCGATCAGAAGGACACTGGGAAGGCGCAGATCACCCTGGACTTCTGCAGACCAACGGCGACTGGACGGAGATCGGAGATGTGGAGCCGCCAGCGGCGGACATCTTCGCGACGACGCTCGTGATGGCAGACAGGGACACGCTGATGTTCAACGCAGTCTCGACGCCCACCAAGGCGGTCACGGACTACGCAATAGCCAGCGTGAGAAGCTTCATCGAGGGCATGCATCTCACGACGGCGGACATCAAGACGGACGGCGAGCCCACGATCGTGAACTTGGTGGAGGAGGCGCGGAAGAGGCTGAACAAGAGCATCAAGCTGGAGGAGAAGCGTGGGAACCTGAAGGACAGCCAGAGCATGGGCGCGATTGAGGCTCCGATCAGACGGTTTCAGGCGAAGGTGAGGACGTGCAAATTCGACCTGGAGAAGCGCTATGGCATGAAGATCACGGCGGACGCACCGATCTGGTGCTGGCTTACGCGATACGTTAGCTGGGCTACCTCTACGTACAGACCACGAGCCGATGGGAGGACATCCCATCAGGCAGCCTACGGAGTGACCTACAACGGAGAGATTCTCTCTTTTGGCGAGACGGCTCTCTTCAAGACCCCGATCTCCCACACGAGGCAGATCACTACCACGTCGCTGAAGCACAAGGGCGAGTCGAGTTTCGCGAAGGGCATCTGGATCGGGAAGCACAAGGAGAGCGACGACCACTTGTTCTTGACGCCAGCAGGCTGGCACCGTGCAAGAACATGCAGGCGGCTGGAGCCAGCACTGCGAGCAGATGATAAGCTGATGAAGGCAGTGAGGGCCCTACCCTGGGATGCGAGGAGCGCTAAGCCGTGCGAGCTACTGCCCAGGATCCAGAGGCCGATGCCCACGATCGTTCTGACGGCGGCGGAGCAGAAGGCGAAGACCGAGGCGCAGGAGGCAGCACGCGAGGCGGCGCCACCCCAGGGGGCGCCCGAGCAGGGGGCGCAGCCGGCTGCAGCAGCGAGCGCGGGGCCATCGTCGGCACCCGCGGGACTTGGAGCTGGAGCAGCAGCGGCAGCGAGACCAGAGGAGAAGAGCACGACGGATGCGGACGTGCCGATGACACCGCGAGGTCTGATCAGACTTGCCGATGCTGAGGACTTCGGTGCACCAGGCAAGCGCGCGAAGCACGTGGACGCCATCTCGCTCGACGACCCTATCGACTACAGCATCCTGCACAGGATGGGCACAGACTGCTACATGACGGTCAGCGGACTGGAGCCCGCGGTGGAACTCAAAGGCAAGCGCGAAGCACTAGAGGTGCTGGCGCACTACGGGGTGCACAGGGACGTCCCGAGGAGCGAGAGCGGCGAGTTCAAGAGGATCAGGGCGCGCTGGGAGCCGCAGATGCGAGGAGGTATCTGCAAGTGGCGATATGTGGCGCAGGAGTTCAAGTGGATGGAACAGCGGGACGACGTGTTCGCAGCGAGCTCATCAGCACAGACGAGCAGGCTGGTGGACTTCGTCAGCATCAAGGAGGAGAACCACGGGACCTTCATCGCAGACTGCGTGAAGGCGTTCTACCAAGCGGACCAGACGGAGAAGGTTTGCGTGGAGCCACCTGCTGAGTATCTGGCGATCTTGGCGGAGATGGGCAGGCCGACCGATATCGTTTGGGCGCTGAACAAGATGTTACCTGGGCAGCGCGTGGCAGGCGCTGGCTGGGTAGACAAGGCGGCGAAGACTCTGAAGGGAGAGGGCTTCGACAGGAGTGAGTGTCAGCCGCAGTTTTACTACCACAGGGAGAAGAAGATCCTGATCGAGGTGCACATGGACGACTTCCACGGAGAGGGTCCAATCGGCAACCTGGACGGGGTCATCAAACGGTTGCGGGAGGTGTTCGACCTGAAGGCGACGGACGTCATCAGGCAGGGACGCTACTCACACCTGAAGCGTGACAGGTTGAGGCTCATGAACGGCAACATCATGCTGAGGCCGAACGTGAAGCATATTGACGACTTGATCTACGTGATGGGCATGGATAAAGCCAAGCCAGCGAAGGTGCCAAGTTCGACTGAGGAGGACCCGACATGGAGCCCTGAATTGGACGAGATCGAGAGGGTGAAGTTTCGCACAGGAGTTGGGATCGCGCTCTACATCTCGCCCGACAGAGCAGACATCCAGCGGGACGTGCAGCTGCTGACCAGGAATCTGGGTCAGCCGACGGAGTTTGACAGGAAGCGACTGGTGAAGCTGGTGAGGTACCTGAAGGGGACAAAGACGTTTGGAGTGCTTTTGGAGAAGCCAACTGGGAGCAAGCCTGGAGAGGTGAAGCTGCAGTTGTTCACAGACACTGATTTTGCGACGTGCAAGGAGACGAGGCGTGCGATGACCTGTGGGATCACAAAGCTGGACGGAGTGCACTTCGCAGCGTTTGCGAGGAGGCGGGGAGTTCAGAGCACATCCTCAGGCGAGGCGGAGTTCTACGGCGCGACCTCGGTGGTGATGGACGGCAAGCTGGTGAAGAACATGCTGGGGTGGTTGGGCTACAAGGTGACCTGGGAGCTCGGGATCGACAGCAGCGCCGCGAAGGCGATGATCAACCGCGAGGGCGTCGGCAAGGTGAAGCACCTGGACGTTCGGGCGCTGTGGATCCAGCAGGAGCGGAAGGTCCACGGACTGATCATCAAGAAGGAGAGCGGAACCAAGAACGTGGCCGACCTAGGGACCAAAGCGCACACCACGGAGCGGTTCGAGTACCTGCGAGAGCTTGCTGGCATCATCGACTGCAGCGAGATGGACAAGCATAAGGAGCTGGAGGCATGCTCGGTGACAACGAGCGCCTGGGCTAAGCAAGGGTTGCTGGCGACACTGCTCGCGCAAGGGGCGACGGGCGGGGCGACCAAGGCGAGTGAATGCGCAGTGCGAGATCTCGACCAGAGTGCAGTTACCCTCTGGGAGGCTACAAAGCTGCAGGACTGGATCGACGACCACACGACACTGATCATCGTGAGCGTGATGATGATGACATTTGTGGCAGGTGCACTGCTCGGGTGTTGGATTTGCAAGAAGTGGACGACTATGGATAGCGCCACGAAGCTAAACCTGGTAAAGCATACGAACACCCCGAATCGGAGAAAGGAGATGAGCAACAAGGTAAGGTTTACAGACAGGCCGACGACGGAGGAGAAGGCGAGTCAGTCGCCGTGCACGTACAAGTGGAAGCACACGACGCCGAGGTTCATGGTGCTGCCCGAGGCGAGCCACGGGTGAGAACAAGCTTGCGGCCAATGGCAAGGTGAACGAGGTGATGTGCCTCGACGAGGCGCCGTGGGGGCGTGCAGGGCGTGTACGGCCCCTCCCGAGGCGGCCAGAGTGTAGGCCAGGGCCCAAGGAGGCCCTGGCGCGAGCGTCAGGCCCATAGAGGCCCTAGTGCATGATTTGGGCCCTAAGTGGACCCCTGTGCAAGGCCCGTGCAGGCCTGGACTGAGTGGAGCGGGACATCCCCGCCGAAGCTGTTATGGCTCGAAGATGATCCATCGAGCGAGATCGTCATCTCTGCAGTTCGGGATACTAATGCAACGCGTTGGTACTTACACGTTTGCAGCTGGGTTCCCTTCGGAGATCATCCTTTAAAATTGGAACGATACAGAGGGGGTTAGCATGGCCCCTGCGCAAGGACGACACGGACAAATCGAGAAGTGCGTACAAGTAAAAAAAAATACACGTTTGCAGCTGTGAGCTTGTCACGAGTTGGATGTATCCCCAGCGTGCTTGGGATAAGCTGGCGGCGCATTCAGGGGGTCATGCGAGGGGGGCGGCCTTCGGAGAAAATCGTTGCGCTCGTGAGAAAAGCCGTCGTTCGTCCTCGTCGCCGTCGCCGTCGTCGTCGTCGTAACGTCGTCGTCGTCCTCGTCATCGTCGTCGTCGTCGTTGCCGCTGCCGCCGCCGTCGCCGTCGTCGTCGTCGGGGCCTTCTGAGAAAGTTTCGTAGAGGGCAGGGGGGCCTCGAAGAGGACCCCCTGCCCTCCCAGATAGGCACCCCTCGCCCGATCGCTTGTGGCGTTCCCCCACCCAGGGGAAGTATTGAAAGGAGGTTTAAGAAACTTAAGAACACAAGCGCGCACACACACACACACACACACACACACACACTAGAACACACACACACACAAAACACACTAAACAAGACACACACACAGAAACACACACACACACACGAAACATACAAAACACCCACACACACACACACACACACACCACACCAAAAACAGTGTGCCGGTTGCGTGCCCCGCGTGACCCTCGCCTCTCCTGTAAGCTTCCAACAGAGCCCCGAAGGATAAGAAGGTCAAGGAGCGCGTGGACGCCAAGAACGCGTTCGACGGCTACATCCACTCGATGAGGTCCGCAACCGAGGGCTCCGGCGAAAACAAGGGCCTCAGCGAGAAGATGGACTCCGAGGAAAAGGAGAAGATCCTCGATGCCCTCAAGGACGGGCAGTCATGGCTGGACTCCAACCCCGAGGCAGAGCCCGAGGACATCAAGGAGAAGCACAAGGACAGGGAGACCCCCAAAAATAGAACGCCAAGCATAAGCCCCCAGACCGGACGTCCGCGGTCTGTTTTTCCCGCCGGCGCTGGGCCGCCCGCAGGCGCTGCGCCGATGCGCGCACGGGGCGGTGATCCGGTTGAAACGACAGCGAGAGAGAAGGCCAAGGATTGCTTGGCTTGATGCATTTGGGCAGTCATTGGCCTGGTGAAGAGCGACAATATTCGAAGAAGAAAAAACGCCATAGACATAAACATTTGGCGCTTCGCGCAGAGTGTCAAAAGTTTATGTTCGTGCCGTTGTTTCTTCTTCGAGTGGAGCTTGCAGGGGCCACGAGAGGGACCGTGAAGAGGGACAATCCCCCGCACCCCCAGAGTGGTGCCCTCGGCGCCGCCCGCGCCGAGCGGGGAGGGTGCTCGTAGGGCGTGGGATCGCTTCACCCGAGTTTCGATTCGCACGGCTCGCCGCGCCCGCGGATCGTATCACCCGCGACTCGCTTCGCCCGCGGGAGGAGGAGGGGGAGTAGGAGGAGGAGGAGGAGGAGGAGGAGGAGGAGGAGGAGGAGGAGGAGGACGAGGAGGAGGAGGAGGAGAGGAGGAGGAGAAGAGGAGGAGGAGGAGGGGGAGGAGGAGGGGGGGGAGGAGGGGGAGGAGGGAGGAGGAGGAGGGAGAGGAGGAGGAGGAGGAGGAGGAGTGGGGAGTGGGGAGGGGAGGAGAGGGGGAGTAGGAGGAGGAGGAGGAGGAGGAGGAGGGAGGAGGAGGGAGGAGAGGAGGAGGAGGAGGAGGAGGAGGAGGAGGAGGAGGAGGAGGAGGAGGAGGAGGAGGAGCTCCGCCGAGTTCGGCTTCGCCCGCCTCGCTTTGCAGTCCGCTTCGCCCGGCTCGCTTCGCCAAGGGTTCGCTTCGCCGGGGACTCGCTTCGCCCTGTTGGTTTCGCCCGTCCGCCCGCCCGTTGGGGTCCGCGCGCTCGCTTGCGGGATGGCCCGCCCGCTTGAAAGTCCCTCCCGCCGATTAGGGTCCGCCCGCCCGCCCGTGAGGGTCCAGCCGTCAGCGTGCCGGTCAGGTTCCAACTGCTCGTCTGCGCGATGGCCCTCCCACTCCACGAGGCCTGGACGAGAGCTTGGACTTGAAACTGAGAGCGTGGCAGTAGCACGTGCCGCCGCTGATGTCTCCTGCTTGCTAGACTTGTGCTTACGAGAGCACGCACGATCTGCGCGGGCGTCTGGACGGAGAAGTTTACTGTCACGCGGCGGACTGTCGCGCTCCGCCCACCTGTCTTTTGAGGTCTGGCCGCCCGCCCGGCCGTCCGAACTTCGCCAGACGAGCCCCTACGAAGCGAAGCGTCAGCGAATCGAGCCCCAAGCGAGGCGAACCCCGGCGAAGCGAAAACCGGCGAAGCGATCCCCGCCGAAGCGAACCATGGCGAAGAGAACCCCTGGCGACGCGAACCCCACCGGAGCGAAAGCTCGACGCTGGCGAAGAGGCCTTCCGCGGACATCTGAAGTCGGGCGTTGCCACAGGTGGCTCGAAGAACAGGAAACACATTCCAGGGTTATTTCAGTGCCTCTTGCCCAAGGTGACCCCAGGCTTTTATGGGGCTCCAAGGCGTTAGGAACACACGTGGTTTCACGCTTGTCCCGTTCTTTGACGTTAGGAGACCGAATGTTTTCACGCTTGTCCCGCTCTGGGGTGTTAGGATCCCAAGTGCGTTCAAGGCTGTCCTTCTCTAGGGCGTTAGAAACTCACGTGTCTTCACGTTTTGCCCCGCTCCGGGGGCGTTAGGACCCCACGTGTTTTCACGCTTGTCCCGCTTTGGGGCGTTGGGAGCCCACGTGTTTTCGCGTTTGTTACGCCCTGGTGCGAATCAGACCCACGTGTTTTCGCGTTTGTCCCGCTCTCGAGGCGTTAGGAATCCACGTGTGTTCACGCTTGCCCCGCTCTGGGGCGTTATGAACCCACGTGGGTTCACGCTTGTCCCACTTTGGGGCGGTAGGAACCCACGCGTTGTCACGTTTGCCCCGTGCTGGGGGGGGGATGGGAGACCATGTGTTTCACGCTTGTTCCATTCTGGGGCGTTCGGGACCCACGCGGTGTCACGCGTGTCCCGTTGTGGGGCGTTAGGAACCATGTGTTTTCACGCTTGTTCCGCCCTGGGACGTTTGTCCCGCTCTGGGGCGTCAGGAATCTGTCATGCTTGCCCCGCTCTGGGGCGTTAGGAACTGACGTGTTTTCGCGTTCGTCCCGCTCTGGGGCGGTAAGAGTTCACGTGTTTTCACGTTTGTCCCGCTCTGGGGCGTTAGGAACTCACGTGTTGTCGCGTTTGTCCCGCTCTGGGGCGATAAGAGTTCACGTGTGTTCACGTTTGTCCCGCTCTGGGGCTTTAGGAACCCACGTGTTTCCACGCGCGTCCGCATTCCCAACACCATTTGCGCATCCGAGGGCGCCGAGGCCCTTCAAGTTTTACAAAACAAGCGTTTCGTTCGAGATGTCTTCGAACTTGCTTTGTGCAGGACGCGCCATCCTCGAGCGGAACGCAACGAGTCAAAACTTAGTGGTGTTCTACCAAATGCGGATGCATCCAGATCCCGTCATGTATTCCAGATTCTGCACAAAGCGCGTTTCTTTTTAACGTGAGAAGCGGGGGTCTGCGGAACCCGTTATGAATCGAGGATCCGAGATGGGGGGCGCATTTGCCTCAAACGGACACGCGCGAAAGTCATTTTCTAAAGCGCAAAATGGCGTATACCTTGTTATTCATCGCAAATACTTCCGCCGGCCCTACGCGAACTTGGCCCCGAGGACAAATTACCATCCTGAACGAGTGCCCTGGGCCCTTTTCGGGAACAGTGCCTCCAATGCTTGGGACGGGCGACGACGACGCGGACGACGACGACGACGGCGACGACGACAGCCTGGCACGTCAAATCCCGTCAAAACTAGCCCCTGGATCCCTTCCTTGGCATCGCTCGGACGTGTGCATTCTTCCTTCGGCGAGGACAATCGAGGAGCATCCTTGATCACTTGGCCAAAAAACCTCGCAAGAAACCGACAAAAGCACAGGGAGTGGACGTCCGAGCGATCGTCCCTCGGCCCGTCCTGGCCGGCTTCTCAGGACGCGCCTATGGAGCCGCGGCGGCGCGCGCCTCTCCGGACACGCCCCCAGTGAAAAGGCTTGCCGGACAAACGACGAAGACGTGGAGCCCCCCTGTGGCGAGCCTGCCTGGCAAGGAGGCGGAGGGCCTCTGCGCCCCGACTGCACGCGTGCCTCGCCGGAAGCGCCCCGACAACGCCTGCCGAGAGCAAACGAAGACGTCGGACCCCCCTGTGGCGAGCCGGCCTGGCCAGGAGGTGGAGGGCATCTGCGCCCCGATCGTCTCCAAGTACTACGGCGCAGGGGGCGGCGGCGGCGGCGGCGGCGACGAGGAGGACGAGGACGAGGCGCACGACGAGCTGTGAGAGCTGGGCCACGGCGGGAGGCCCGGCCCCCGCGCAGGTCCTCGCGACAGCAGTCTGCCGCACCCAGACATGATCGCGCCATCCGAGGCCGTTTTCGGCATCGGATGGCCCTCGCTGGGCCTCGGGGCCGTCCGAGAACGACTCGGGATGAAAAACGGGTCCTGGGGCAAGGTTGGGACTTCCAGGGACCCAAGCCTTGGAAGCATCTGGACGTCGCATGTCTGGGTACCCAGACGCCCGAGGTCGTGATTTTTGTTCGCCACGTCGACCCCCAGAGGTCGGGACCCCTTTCCCAGGACCAGTTGTTCATCCTGAGTCGTTTTTGACGGTCCCGAGGCCCGGTAAGGGCCCCCGGAAGCCGAAAATAGCGAAATATTTCCCGTCGTGATTTTCTTACGACGCGAGGCAATTTGGGTAAACCCCCCGCCTCACTCCTCTGCGCGAGGAGCTCCCGACGGCTCCCTCCGCTGCCCCTCGAGGGACGCACGTGGGCACCGCCACAGGGGCCTTCGGTGGAGCTCCCTGTGGGGCCACAAAGCGTGTGAAGGGTGTACCGAAATGGGTGTCGATAATGGTGACGATGGCGACGATGATGATGATGATGATGATGATGATGATGATGATGATGATGATGATGATGATGATGATGATGATGATGATGATGATAATGATGATGATGATGATGATGATGCTGATGCTGATGCTGATGCTGATGCTGATGCTGATGCTGATGCTGATGCTGATGCTGATGATGGTGATGGTGATGGTGATGGTGATGGTGATGGTGATGGTGATGGTGATGCTGCTGCTGATGACCATGATGGTGATGATGATGATGATGGTGATGATATTGATGGTAATAATAATATCAAGAATAATAGTAAGTAATAATAATAGTAATGATAATAAGAAGAAGATTAATAAGAATACCAATAATAACAATAATCACACCAATACTTATAAGAATAATAACAATAATAATAATAATGATGATTATGATGATGATGGTGATGGTGATGGTGATGGTGCTGGTAGTCGTGGTGACGATAATGATGGTCATGATGATGAGGATGATGCTGATGATGATCATAATGAAGATGAGGATGAGGATGATGATGATGATGATAATGACGCTGACGATGACTATGATGATGTTGATGATGACAATAAAGATAAATATGAATATGATGATTATGCTTATGATGATGATGGTGATGACGATGATGATGATGATGATGGCGGTGGTGGTGATGATGATGCTGAGGATGATGCTGATGGTGATGATGAGGATGAGGATGAGGATGATGATGATGATGACAATGACGACGACGATGATGATGTTGATGAAGGTGAATATGAGTATGATGATGCTGGTGATGATGACGATGATGATGGTGATGATGATGGTGGTGGTGATAATGATGATGATGAGGAGGATGATGATGATGACGATGATGATGACGATGACGATGACGATGACGATGACGATGATGTTGATGATGAGAATGATGATGATGATGCTGATGATGATGACAATGATGATGATGGTGATGATGATGATGGTGCTGATGATGATGATGATGATGATGATGATGGTGATGTTGATGGTGGTGGAGGTCGTGGTGATGATGATGATGATCATGATGATGAGGATGATGATGATGATAATGAAGATGAGGATGAGGATGATGATGATAATGACGCTGGCGATGACTATGATGATGTGGATGATGAAAATGAAGATGAATATGAATATGATGATTATGCTGATGATGATGATGGTGATGACGATGATGATGATGGTGGTGGTGGTGATGATGATGCTGAGGATGATGCTGATGGTGATGATGAGGATGAGGATGAGGATGATGATGATGATGATGACGATGACGATGATGATGTTGATGATGAAAATGAAGATGAATATGAATATGATGATGCTGGTGATGGTGCTGATGATGATGCTGATGATGATGGTGGTGGTGGTGATAATGATGATGATGAGGATGATGATGATGACGATGATTATGACGATGACGATGACGATGACGATGACAATGATGTTGATGATGAGAATGATGATGATGCTGATGATGATGATGATGACGATGATGATGATGGTGATGATAATGATGATGGTGATGATGATGATGGTGATGGTGATGCTGCTGCTGATGATCATGATGGTGATGACGATGATGATGATGGTGATTATATGAATGATAATGATAATAATATTTGTTATAATAATAGCAAGTAAGAATAATTGTAGTAATAATAATAAGAAGAAGATTGATAAAAACTGCCAATAATAACAATAATCACACTAATACTAATAATAACGATGATGATGATGATGATGATGGTGATGGTGGTGGAGGTCGTGGTAATGATGATGATGATCATGATGATGAGGATGATGCTGATGATGATGATGATAATGAAGATGAGGATGAGGATGATGATGATGATGATGATAATGACGCTGACGATGACTATGATGATGTGGATGATGAAAATGAAGATGAATACGAATATGATGATTATGCTGATGATGATGATGGTGATGACGATGATGATGATGATGATGGTGGTGGTGATGATGATGCTGAGGATGATGCTGATGGTGATGATGAGGATGAGGATGATGATGACGATGACGATGATGGTGTTGCTGATGAAAATGAAGATGCATATGAACATGATGATGCTGGTGATGATGACGATGATGATGGTGATGATGGTGGTGGTGGTGATAATGATGATGATGATGATGAGGATGATGATGACAATGATGATGACGATGACGATGATGTTGATGATGAGAATGATGATGATGATGATGATGATGATGATGATGATGATGACGATGATGATGGTGATGATGATGATGATGATGATGATGATGATGATGATGATGATGATGATGATGATGATGATGATGATGATGATGATGATGGGGAGGGAGAAGGGGAGGAGGAAGGAAGGCGGAAGGAGGAAAGAGGAAGCGTGCGAGGGGTGGGCGGGGAGAGCCGCCCGTCGCGAAGAATTGAGGGCAGCGCGGCGGAGAGGCACGGCCAGAGCCCTTAGGCCCCCCTTTTTTAAGTCCAGAGCCCTGAACCCTTAGGCCAGAGCCCTCAGTCCTGCAGGCCCTGCTTTAAAGTCGGGCCTGTCCCTCTACAGGAGGAATGTCCAAAAATAGCTTTAAACAAAAATAAAAAGTCTGGGGGCGATTTTTTCAACACTTTTGACTGTTTCGGGGTACTTTTTGAATATGTTTCATTCTTCGCCCAAAATCCGCCGGTAGGCGGACATGCCCGACCTAACCTTAGGCCCCATCTTCCTGCAGGCCCTGCGTTCGCGCCCCAGGGCCTCAGAGGAGGACAAGGGACCCATACCTCTATACCCAGATGCCCTCGCGCTGCGAAAAGATCACGACGGTAGGCGAGGAGGAGGAGGAGGAGGAGGAGGACGAGGAGGAGGACGAGCAGGAGGAGGGGGAGGAGGAGGAGGAGGAGAAGGAGGAGGAGGAGGAGGAGGAGGCTTGCTTATTTTGTATGCTTATTTCCCGGAGTGGGGAGGCCTCGGGGCCGTCAAAAGACGACTGGGGACGAAGAATGGGTCCGTGGGAAGGGACCCCTTCCCCAGGACCTCGGAGGGTCGACGCTGCGACAAACATCACGGCCTCGGGGGTCTGGGCCCTGCCTTCGTCTTTCCCCTGCTTTTGGGGGGGCCTCCCCGGGAGGCCCTCGCCGCCGCCGCCGGCTTCTCCTCGCGTGGGGGGCCTGGCCCGGGAGGCCTTCGCCGCCGCCGCCGGCTTCTCCTTGGGCCTCCGGGCAGAACGCACCCCAGGAGAGGTCTGGGGGGTTAGCATGAAGTCGGGCCTGTCCCTCTACACTTCAGAGATAGTCCAAAAAATAGTCTGGGGACGATTTTGTCGTATTTTGTTGGCTATCTTTGAATACTTTTGGACTATTTGGGATTTTTCCTCCAAGATCCGCCTGTAGGGGGGCACTCCCGACCTAAGGGTAGCAGTATCGGCACGCTGCGGTTTCCCCGAAGGCTGGACGGAAACGCCCGGTGCGAAGAGACTGCGGCGCGCGGGTCTCAGCCGCCGCCCTGCGCGGCACGTGCCGGGGCCAACGCTAAGGGGGAGAGAATAGGCACGGGGGGGGACGCCTCGGCCCCCCGACCCGCCCAGGGATCGTCGATGGGGGCCCGACAGCCCCGCCCCGGAAGGCGCAGCTCTGCTCTCGGGGCCTTCTCGCCGATCTATCGACGAAGTGTACCGCCGATTCCGGGTCGGCGCGTCCCCCCTATGCCAGTCCTCGGGTCGGGTGTTGCTAGAAGTACTCCTGGCCCGAGGTACCCCCGGGATTCTCGGGGTGGCCCAGGCGGCCTCCAGGGCACCCCTCACGAGGCCCAGAGGACCCCAGGGGCTCCAAAATGGAGCGAAAGGCTGTGGGCTCCTTGGGCCAAGGGCAATTGTAGCAACACCCGATCGGGCGGGGCTAGGACGAGGATAGATATGTTCCAGAACGTTCCGGGACGCTCCGAGAGCATCCCGGAGCTCTCTCAGAAGGTTGCGGCGCCCGCGAGACATATTCCAGAGCCGCCAGATCTCAGAGATTCTCGATTTATCTTCACCCGAATTTATCCTCTTCTTGGCTTTGTCTTAAGTTCCCCACCTATCGTTCGTTCACGGCACCTGGGTGTTATTGCTCATACCCTTTATCCTCCCAACCCTTTCCTCCCAACACGGTCACTGCTTTCCTCAACGAATAGAGAGAAAACTATAAACATAAATGTTCGGATTTTCGCGCGGATTTCTTGGATCTGCGCTGGCCTTGGCGGCGCCGCCACTGGCGCGCTCCGCGCGCCAGGGAGGGGGCCCAGCGCGGATCCGAGAAATCCGCGCCGACCTCCAAAAGTTAATATTTATGTCGTTGCTTGTTTTTCCATGGAGGTCTGGGCTCTCTCGCTCCTGCACCCCCCCTCTC